GTACCCTCTGCCCCGTACCCTCTGCCCCGTACCCTCTGCCCCGTACCCTGTACCCCGTACCCCGTACCCTGTACCCCGTACCCTGTGCTCTGTACCCTGTACCCTGTGCCCTGTACCCTCTATCCCGTACTCTCTGTCGCCTGCCCTTTGTTCCCAGATCTCTGTCGCTTATCCTCTGTTCCCCTCTCCTCTCTCTGCCCCCGTCCTCCGGCTTTGTACGCTGTTATCGGCTTTCTACCCCCCTCCCTTCTCATCTCTTATACATCCTAACTCCCCATGACTCCTTTCGGCCCTTTACTCATTTTTCATATTATTTCGTACTCCAGTCTGCACCCTTTCGCCCCCAGACTTCTCCCTCCAGCAGTTCACCCTCTCTGCACTCGATGCGCCCTTCGTCTTCTACCCATTTGCCTTCCATCTTTCCCTTACGGTCTCCCCCCACCTCGCTCCGTCCGTCGCCTTCCTCCTTCCGTCCCGCCGTTTCCATCCCCCTGCGCACGGTCTCTCTTTGTCTTCTCGTTCTTCACCTTCTCCCCCATCTTCTTTCCCCATCCTTCAAACTCTCTCTCTCTCTCTCTCTCTCTCTCTCTCTCTCTCTCTGTTCTCAGCCTTCCGAATCTGTCCCGGTGAGGGATTGTAACTTCATTTTTAAACTCTATTTCGATTATTTCAAGAGAAATGCCTTATCCGATATAATGTATTATTCAACACTCATGTATGTAAACTAGTACTTACCTCCACAGTGTGGAATATGTTACTTTGCGGCATGCACGCGGTAAAGTAGACTTCTTAGGAAGAAGTCATGGTCAATTAAAACAATTTGAGTATTGCAAAGCCGACGTGACTGCCGCCTCGCATATTGTTATGATTCCAGGAGTAAATATTTGTAAGTTTCCGTAAATTCGTACTAAAAAATGTGCAAAACACGTACGAAAGGGTGTTTAGCGAACTCATTTCAAAACAACGTTTCATTTGTGCGTCAGATTCACCTTCTGTACCACTTAGTCGTACATAAAGAATTATTTATGTACCGGTTTTCTTTGGAAGTGAAGAAGAAACCAGTTGCATACATGTTAAACACGGTGTCAAGACTTTAAACTCCGTAACATTGTCAGACACGAGTCTGGATGACGAAGTCTCCAGATCGAAAACGTAAGTCAGAATATACAATACCTTCGTTAAATGTCATAAAATAAAATTTAAATGTATTGTTGTTGGTAATTTATCTTGAGCTTGTCAACCCCTGGTGTTAGTGTTTACATGACCAAAAACAGGAACAAAAATTTGAGCATAGGTGTGCTTTGCCTATTGATGTACGTGTCCCATGCCTTCGACCATACCCTCCAAGCAGCAGTTGCATCTGTATCCATTGGCAATTTAAAACATCGTTTACATAATTGTACCTTACTTTCATTCAATGATGAAACGTTTAACCCTGGGATTGTGAAAAAAGTTCCAGATTCGAAAACTGAATATTCGAATCCTCGAAATTGACACAGTCTTTTAAAATCCTATGCAATGCTGCCAATGTGTTATATGTATTATTTTTTAATTATTAGATACTCCCTAATACATTTAAACGTAATTGTATGTCGTGGGGTTGATTGTAATGAAAATTGTAGCATTATTCCAGTTATTGGTATGATTGTTTTCAAAGATTCAAGAGACTTGGGTTTGGGGGATTCGACAACCTTTTGCAATTTATATTAAATTTTGGTTATGTCTATTTTTGATGTGGCACTGATGACGCGTCATGATATTATTTTATTCTGAGAATGGGATATTTTAGTTTCTAATTGTATAACAATGATGATGTTCATCAAGAAGTGATAGAATAATAAAAAGAAACAAGGGGATCTCTAAGAAAACCTGTCCTGAATGCACTATATTTCAAATTCCACGTAGAGCGATTAAGATACGAATCCCAATACCTCAAATGACGACAAACAATTGTCAGCAGGAAATTACAATAAATTATTGATTGTGATTTGCTGCTCGGGGACATGGCTTAATTACCAGAGATGATTATAGAACTATTAGTAGATGATAATGATGGAGAGTGTTAAATATAACTCATTTATAATTTACGGTTTCTGGATAGATAATAGAAGAAGACTTGCGGGTAAAGCAATCATTCTCCGAAGTGAAGGCCTTTTCCACCAGGATTTCCATAAGGAGTGGTCAAGGCAAGATAAATGTCAAAGCTAGAATGATGATCATGTTCTGATGTTATTTTCAGATGTTTTGTTGGTATCCGGAAATCCTACCCTCTCACCTTTACCAGCACTGTTGATTCTGAATAAACGATGAAGTGCGCTGTTGAATTTGATAATAAGAAATGTTCGCTCCTTATAATAGACAACTCGCGAAACAACTATAAATTTGATTTGAAGAGTTTCACAATTCGGCACACCCGCCACAACAAGCGCAGCATTCGCCTCCGCACACTGAGACGACACCAAGCCCCTGTGCCACGGGGCCGCTGCCGTTGATTTCGACTCTCTTTGACTGGCGTTTACGCTACAGATAGCCCTCAAGAGCGCGAGTAGAAATTGAGAGGGCGAGGGGGAGGGAGTAGGAGAAACGGAGTAATGCTGGTGGTGACACCCCCCCTCCCTCTGTGAGAGTTCAGACCGTTCGCTAAGGGGCGGATCGCCTTCAACAGCGCTGGTCGGAGAGCGATGCGTGGGCGAGGGACAGAACGAGCGGGAACGTCGTGTCAATGCCCAAGACCGATCTCGTGGACTTTGACTATCTTTGCCCGTCCAGTTTCACCGGTCGCTACCCCAATATTACCCCCAAGAGCGTGGATGGAAATTGGAGAGATGGATGAAGGAGGTGAGCGGAAGCAGCGGGGAGTATCCAAGGCCGCCTACGGTAAATTTGACCCCCGATTGACAGTTCAATGTGTTCGCCCGCTACATTACAACTAACCCCCAAGAGCGCTGGCGGGAATTTGAGGGGTAGGCGGACGAGGGGAGGGAGAGGGCGAGAACGACGTGGCCGCCCCCCAACGCACCGGCGTTGACCGTTCAATTTGACCGCCATGGGAACTGAGAGAGATGTGACGGGAAAGGGGTGGGGCGGACGGGACACTGCTCAAGTCCGCCCGCGTTGAATTTGACCCCCTTTGCCCATTCAGTTTGACCGGTCGCTACGCTTCAGATCGCACTCAAGAGTTTTCGGTGGGAATAGGGGGAGAAGTGGAAGGGAGAAAACTGAAGCGGCGGGGCAATGTCCATGGCAGCCCCCATTTTTTTGACCCCCTTCGACAGTTCAGTTTGACCGGTTGCTACATTTCAGATCGCCTCGAAGCTCGCGGGTGGAAATTGGGGGAGAGATGTTTCGGCGAGAGAACGGGACAATACGTTCAATTTGATCGGCCTCTACCCTACAGATCGCTCCCAGGAGTGCGGTGAGAGTAAGGGGAGATGTGGGAGGGGCGAGCGGCAGTTGGCGGACAATGCCCATGGCCACCTCCTTGATGACCGCCTTCGACAGCGTGAGTTTGACGGCCGTACGCTAACAGATCCCACCGCCACCGAGTTGCCAGGCGAGGGGCGTGCGGGAGCGATGGCAATGCCCAGGCCTACGGACGCGGAAGTCCGGCGCGGTCGATGCAGGCCGAGCGAGGGGCGGAAAGGGGGAGGGAGCGGGTGAGGTAATCTTTTCATGAAGTCTCTCCTGCGGCCTCGCCGCAGCCGCCGCGCCCGCCGCCGCCGTCGCTATCAGCGAGGCGCGGAACAACCCAGAAGAGTTGATCCGACGCGAGGGGCTCTGCGAGAGAGATTGCGAAATGTGCACACTAGAGGAATCGGCAGGGTGATACGGAAATATGCAAAAGTTTCAACAAAAAGTCGTAAAGTTTGTTAAAATATCTCCGACTGGGAGTTTTTGAATGCTCGTTTGACGTGCTCACCTCAAAAGACAAATTCTGGCTCTTGTGTTCTATTCCCGGCTGGCAAGTGACTTTGCGGAAACCAAACAGTCCAACTTGCTTCAAAGTTTTATTTCTTAATGTAGCTCGAGTTCTCGCAGCTTGTTTTCTATACTTTGAACGATGTGTTGTAAACTCTTGTGGTAACCAGGAGCTCGTATTTTGCTGCAGATGAGTTGCATTTGCATCAAGACCCTCGAGGACAAGGGGCTAATGGTGGTCAGATCTCTGTAGTGGCCCTCTAGAGCGCATGTACGCCTGTCAGAACTTTCATCAATGCCCTGATCCCACGATTATCATATTTGTGATATCCGAATTGTGACTGGAGAGTCAAAGAGTTATCAGTGGACTACTAAACTGTTTCTTGATACAGGAAAATATGGTTTACTTAAAATAAACTTCCTTCAAATATTTTTTTTTAAATCACTAAGAGGGACGAGGAAATGCAATGTCCAACTTACTTTATCCACGACACATTCTATACGAAATTATTTGATTTAGAATGTGTTTACGGAAAGGAAATTCTTAAAGTAAATTTCTCGTGGAAGCGCACCAGTATAGACGAGTACATGTAGTGAAAATACAACTGGACACGCAACAAACAAATACAATTCACTGTTATAGAATACAATGCGTAAAAGAAAAAAAAATCCTTACCTCTCACCTGCTCAGAAAGTGAAAGCGTTCCCCAATACTGTTACCGGTTTAAGTACCTCCGCGTTTGAAGTATGAATTGTTCAGTAGGCCCCTCTTGACTCGATGTCACGGTGTTCCGTGCTAATTCTGTTAAGGCAGCTCCTCAGTTGGCTTCGTGGGGCTTCCTTACTCGCAACTCGTTTTTTCTGGAGTGCTGAACTACTTTTAAAAGAGAGGTATTCCCAAATATCTTGCACAATAGTCAGATTTTTACATTCCCTTTCTTAACACGAATACGTACATGTCCATCAACATCTATAGAAGTGTCTCGGAATAAATGTTGCAAACTTCTAGGGCACGTAGGGATATCGAAGATGATTACTTTTGTGCAATAAATACATAGTAAGACATTGTATATGTCCTAGAAGGTTTTCACATTTATTCTGAAGCAATTTATATGGATAGTACGCTAAGAAAAGATGATGATTTTTACCATTTAAAAAAACGATTGACCCAACCTCGCTTCTGCTGGATAGGAAAAATCTGCCCAGGGCTGAACCAAACAAGCGAAAAAGACGAATGAAAAACGTTATCAGATTATGATTCAAAGATAATATCAGACGCTCAGCAACCTACAACTTGCAGTCACACTGCTACCCCCCCCCCTTGGCGTCGTGCATAATGCATCCTATACGTCGTATAGAGGAATTTCTCTACGAAGGGACCACTTTGACAGGTCGGGAAATACATAACGTCATGGTAAGCAATCACATGGCAAAAAATGGAGATGAAGCCATTTACATATGAGCGCACTGACAGAATGAGTGCATGGACATAACTTGCAGTTAATGACTTAAAGACATCTATCTAAACCATTCTTTGTGCTTGACTGTTGGGCATCAGCAGAGGTAGCATTACCGCGTCTACTTTGCCACATGCGCGCTACATGAGCTTTCCTGGGGAATGTAAAATATAATTTAGGTTTCAGTCTTATAATTTTGATATTTTTCCGTTCAATACCTGTACTGCTTGGATACTTTTAATGAGACGAAATTCTTATGTTGAGCGTCGTAAATGGGAGACAGAATCGGTCAGCTGTACGCCGCTGTATCGTCTTTATTTATCCATCCGGAAATTGTAGCAACAGCGGTAGATTACGTAAATGGAAAAGCTGCTGCTATTGCGTGTCATTAGGAAACCACTGTTGGCGTCATCTCGTGTTTCTTTTAAACATCGAGCACAAAGTACTTTGGTGCAACGGATATGCACTTTAAACCTGGTTCTCTTGTCTCTACGAGTTATGTTTATTTTGTATGCGGCAATGCTAAAACGGAACAATTTTAGACGTTCATTATATTTATTGAGGCTGCCCCACTCTGTAGCACGGGTTGTCAGAAACTTTCGTAGTTGGTTTCCAGTACGAAGTATTTAAAATGATTTTAAGAGCAAGGCGGAATGTTCGCATGGTTCAAATAGTGTCTTATTTTGTTTTTGCATTTAGCCATTATACGTCCCGTAAAGGGGAATTGACCTCGACGCAGTTAGATCCCGGGGTTCTTAGACGGTCACCCAACCAGGAACCCGTGATGTCTCGAATTCGCTTAACCTTCGTGACTTCACATACAGTAGTTAATAAATCTGGATAGCGACGTCATTTCGCAGCCGCTGCCTTTGAATATAATCATCAGAGCATTCGCTTGGATCGCCGAGGGGAACCACGAAAACCCCGGTCAGGATGGTCAGCACGGGTGTTGAAATCGGGCCTCCCGAATACGAAGTCAGCGGGCCATGTGCTGAGCCACTTCGCTCGGTTACATAGTTACTTGTACGATAACATAAATGACCGACGCTGTGACAGAGCCTGATGACCCGTCGTTCGATCCCCAGCGAGGGCCGGAAATTTGCTTCAAGTAAAGCAAAGTTTGTGTCGCCCGCCGGTGTCGAGTTCGTGGGTCAATGCCCCCTGATGCGCGGTTTTCGTGGTCTCCCTAATGACATCGACGCATGACGGAGCAGCACTCTACAGTGCTGCAGGTCACTGACAGGGCATGGAACCCCTGAAATGAAACTTTCTAATATAAACAAAACCACAGTCTTCCAAACGGATTGGTTACAAAGCTATGCTCGTTTAAAGCGAAACATTGGTAGCCGTTTTGTCAGGAAGAGACAGACATTACATCCGCACGTTTTCTTGAGACCAGGAATTTCTACCCCCACTCCTTTACAAATATTGGTTGAATTAAGAATAAATGATTGCAACGAGCGTTGTAGACAAAATGCGGCAATGAGAAATGTTCGCTCCTGTGTATTAGAAACTATTTTGCATCGAAAAATGAACTACAAATTCGACGTAAAATTCCTTTGGTCAAAATAACCAAACTCCCCACTCCTCTCGCATCAAGCAAGCGAGGGCTCAAGAAAACGTGCGCGAATAATAAAATCATATAAAAGCATGTTCCGTTATAAGTTAACCATTAATTATAAATCAAATTGTTCAGAAAACTCTAAATATTTCAAGAATTTGATTTGGTTTCATTGATCGAGTAATATCAATTTTGGTGAAAATCCTGAATACTGTTTATTCGAAGTAATTGACTACATATAGGAACAATATTCATCCAATTTTTCGCTATCAGGATGCGACAATTCGATTTTTCCTGTGGAAAAAATTCCGTTTTGCATTTGAGCATTACAATACTTCCACTATATTACGTACGTAGTATGCAAGAAAGTGGAAAGAATAATAAGCAAGGATGATCCACAAATTGTGAGGGATTCCAAACAATAACCAACAAACTGTGAACCTGTTACCCGACGTTCCAAGTTTCTCTGAGCCTTCCGTGCGTGCTGCATCGCGGGTTGCCTATGGAGATCCCTCTAAGTCAGAGGAGTGGGAATAGCCTGCTGCGTCCCACAGCCTTTCCTCGATGGGCCTCTGCGGGAGGAAACACTTCCGCGCGATGGCTGACGTCATTGATAGCAGTGGTGGGCACGCGCGGGCTACAACTGTAAACAAGCGCTTCGCCGGCGGTGAGGATATGTCGGTGATGTAACGCGCGTTTGGCGTGCTGCCCAGATTACTTTTATTATTATTATTATTATTATTATTATTATTATTATTATTATTATTATTATTATTATTATTATTACTCTGATTCAAGACTAAAAATGTTATGAGTGGGTTCCTTAGAAAATCACCTCCGAGTTATCCGGGATTTGGAGAAAAAACGTGTCTACTTGAAGATGTTGCTGTGCCGTGCGATCAAAACGACGTAATCAAAGAGGCAGAGAAACGTCTTAACTACAGGAGTTTGGAAATCGAGATCAGCCTAATCTAAGGCGTAAAATTACAGATCGGCCCAATAGTTATCGGAGCTCTGAGCTTTGTTCCGCAAAATTTGTGTAAAAACGTAGCTAAACTCTCAGGTCATTCGAAAGACTGGGAAGCGCAAGACATTGCTTTATTGGGAACAGCCCACATTTTGCGCAAAGTATTGAAGTGGCACCGAGAGAATCAGCTGCGGCATTCGATCTGTATTCACTCGTTGAAAATGCTCGTTGAAACTTTCGAAGCTATTTTTCAATCATATATATTCTTGTGGCTTGAATATTTTCTGCATAAATTCATGCTTCATCTTTAAATGATGTCATGCACTTTTTTTTACAAAAATCCTAGTAATTGTTGAGTAATAACACTAACACTAAGAGGAGGAAAAGTTGCGATGTCCGCTCATTCCCACATGTTCTGGCAAGGCTTTTGCAGCGGAAACCGTAACCATCCACAGCATGAACGATATCGACGTTTATGAAACGGCGCACTTGGCAGGACTTCCGCCCTTCGCAAGCGGCTTAGGACGCTTCGCATGGGCGATGACGAGCGCCTTCCGCCAGGGGAAGTCCCATCGGAGCCTGCCCCTCGCCCTTCCTCGCGGGTGCCCAAGAGCGCTCCGCCACGACCCTGCTGTAGAACAAATCACTCTCCTTTTGTGGTTGTGGTTGATATTTAAGGTCGCATCAACATCCAGGTCATTAGCGACCACTATTAGATTGAACGTTATGGTGCCAGTGAAGATGGCATGATAGGGGGAGAAAGGATGAACACAAATACAACCATGTCCGAGGCGGGACTTGAATTCATCCTATCCTTCAGTCTGAGATCGCTACGGCACTACTGCCGTAATAATCTCGGCCATTAGGACGACAAATACTCTCTTTGTTACGAAACTGGTACATAATTTCTATAATACTTTAAATCCCTTACAAGGAGCAGTCACGTGCGAAATAGGAACTGTACATTTGTTGAAGATTAATCTAATGAAATTACTAACAGAGGTGACAACAAGTTACCTCTTAACACTGTTGTTACGAAATGAATCGGCCAATCAACTGAAGAGCCTCGCGGCTGAACGTTGTACTATCCATCGTTGTAAGTCAAAATTCAATTTAAAAAAATCACGGCCTCTTCAACTGCGCGACGCTTCCTCCGTCGCCGTCCGGTAGTTTACGAAGCTGTAGAGAGAGGTGGCGAAAATGTAGATAATAATTGATCTTGTCCGTATTTATATCTCTCAAACCGAGATGCTTTGCTGTGTGGGTCGTGATATTTGCAAAGCATTGAAAGAGTGGTTCCTCTTATCTTTAGTTTAAGAAGTGGAAAAGGGGGTGGCGGATAATGCTTTCTAAATCTCATGGGCAACGTCCTCTTGCTTTGAAGGTCAAGTGCAATGTAGCAAATATTGTTTTAGGCTGTTTCAGCAGTCTTTGAAAGTCCTTTTCAAAATTGTTTGCCCTCTTGTGTTGGTCGTCCTACTTTTTGCCTTTGTAATTCGAAATAATTAGAAAAAGAATAGTTTATTGTGCTCACGCCTAACAAAAATACTTTTCAGTATTACGATAAACTGCAGTAAGTTATAACTCGACGGGGTGGGAGCAGAATAATAATAGCTGAAATTGCTCTCAATGAAAACAAAGATATTAATTCCCTTTCCATCACAAAAAATTATGTTACAAGAGCTATACAAATTTATTCATAGAAATTCAGTGTGTCAATGGAAGACAGCAGAAATCGTACACATACTGAGAAATGTCTGGATTTATCCTAAATTTGTTTTTCTTCTGGCTACCAAAAATTACAAAAATGAGGTTTATCACTGTGATGCCTCCATTCCTTAAATTCAGCTGAGAATGTACTATTCAAAGATACCATCCAAACTTACTATTAAGTGTATACTCTTGCTTACCATTAAGTAGTTAAGTAGTTTGCAAGTCCTCTCTGGAGACAGCTTATCAGTAATTAACACGCAAGCGTGAGCAGGATAGCGCCTCTGCTCGATGCCAATCCACAACCAGACAGCAAGCGATAACAAACTGTGACAACGTCCCAGTTTGCTAACTTTGTGTCGTCGGTTACCTAGTTCCTTGACCTAGTGGATAATCGTACCTGCCTGCGTTTTGTAAAGTTTCGCCAACTAAGATAGATATGTGGTGAGGCCGAGCGCAACCTTCCTAGACGAAGAGGTCCCAAGGTGGACTCCTTACGGATAAAGCTAACCTCAGTGAATTCCATACGTTCCAGAATGACGTAATATTAATTTTAACAATGATATTTAATGTATTATTTAACCATTTGGATTGTATAATTCTAACGAAGAAGTATTGTACTTCAGCTTCTGGGTCAATGACCCCCATCTCGATCAGGTTTTCGTTCAGTTTTCTTGATTCTTGAACAAATGCTGAGATGGCCACTCGTTTTGCTTCTGAGCATAAATGTAACTTCAAATGAACTTCTCCCCGTCGCGCCACACACACAGATTTTAACTATTTTTGACGTAAATAAATGAGTAAATGAGAATTCTATAAACCGCGTGTCTTTGATGTTTGCGTGGTTTCCTACGGTCAACTCCAGACGAGTGCCGGAGCAGTCCATTAAACAACGGGACACGAAGAGTGTGCGAGACCTCTTTGCAATCCTTGTCACATCCCTAACTTTAGGATTGTGCGATAATTATGTCCTACACATTATCTATTTATCTATCTTCATTTATTTATTATGCTTGTCTTCCTCATAATTTCCCATTATTCCGACTGTAATCTAGTATCGCTAGTCCTGGAGTTCGAGTGTCGAGAACGAAAATTGTGGACAGCACCCCTAGGGTGTTGTTTTACGAGTCAAATTAAGAGTTTTGGTGCTCGGGCGTGCAAACAAGTTATTCAGAAAGCCATTGCCTAAATTTAATTCCTACAAGATAAAATAAATTATAATTATCTTTTCCTGAAATATTATTGGGGACGCCTAAGCACATACTTAGCCTGTATCAGTGATGCGACATCGATGCTGATCGTGCCTCGACCGAAATTCATTGATGTTTTTAAAGGTTTAATAACCTCATATTAAATTCGGGGGAAACCAAAGGTAATTTGAGAGAGGTCGTGTTTATTAATTCAAAATGAATATTTATTTGAAAACAAGATAAAAAATCAACAATCCCCAAAATTCAGCCAGATCGTCCAGAACACTGGGCTTCAACTCAAAGGGTCAGCCCTCAGTTCTCACAATAAGATTAGGGGTAAAAAAGGGCAGAACCTACACTTACGGCCCATACTTTGACTACCTCTGTACGTGCGATAAACAAGGCAAGATGTAGGAAATACTAGGACATAAGAGGTCATCTTGGGCGAGAGGTAGTCTGTTCAATGAAGGTATATAGTACAAGCCCGAACACATTAACTGGCATTGGTATCGTCAGTTATCATTTCATATTTGAAATTTTCTAAAAACCTCGAGCATAAAACATCGATGATTAAAAAAACATCGGTCTGAATGTATCGATTTTTAAAACATTGATAATTCTGTTTAAAAAACATCGACATCGACGTTTCATGCCTAGCCCTGTGTTAATGCTGCAGCGGCGCCGCACCGCGGAGGCAGCCCCGCCGCCGCCGCCGC